CCCCGCTCCCCGGGGGGGTTCCGCGGGCGCCGACTGCCAGGCGGGGCTGGGGAAGCTCGAGTCTATACTCATTAAAAATAATTGCCCGCGTAGCAGCGAAACCTCATTTCTTCTCCCCCTCCCCACCCAGTTACATGCCCTGGTTCGGTTTTGGTTCGGTTTTTTTTGGGTGGGTTTTTTTGTTTGTTTGTTTGTTTTGTTCTTAAAACGCAGCCTACTGTGGTTTTAGGATTGTTCTCCCAGAGGCTTTTTTGGTTTGTGATGTTTTGGGTTTTTTTTTTGTTTTGTTTTGTTTTCTGACTCTGATCATATGGCCGTTCATCAAGGAGGGTGTCACTTTTGGGATGGAAAGTAAGTCCTCAGATGCACGAGGGTATCTATGTTGAGTGTGTTATTTGTCAGCTGCTAAATAACACAGTGATTTCCTGAGAAGCTTTTATTTAAAAAATGATAATGAGCATAGGGTAGACTCAACCCTCTGGAAAGTTGCATCAGCAGCCATAGATTATCCAGTTACATATGGAGAGGAGGTGGTTTCTGCCAAATTGTGTGCATCTGACTTTGAACTTAAGAGTTATGAATTGTGGAAATTCTTTGTTCTTTTCTTAGTTTCCTTCGTAGTTTTCTTCATTATTTCATGTGTTATTTCTTTAACAATTTTATTAGGGAAACAAATTTGCTGTACACTGGGTTTTGTGTTGTTTTTTTTTTTTTTTTTCCCTTCCTTTCTATCTTCTCATGGAAACATCTTTGCGGATTATGTGCAAAGAAATTTGTTGTCCTGTCTTGAAGCTTTGGCTCCGAAAGGGGCTCTTACTAGAACTGCTGGCAGTATCCAACTTTCCAATAGAGAGTACTGAGAACTGGGTTTAGGGTTTGAGGAGAGCATAGCTGAACTCCATGTTGTTAATCTGTTTTCCCTTCTTGAAAATGCAGTTCTCTTAAATGGACTACTGTATCACCTCTGTTGTTTCACTTTGGTCGTGGGCTGATGCCATGTATGAAGCGCTCGGACTCACTGAAGCAAGAAAGTGGACAGAGCTCCTCATGGCTATTATAAGGCATATCAGATGCCTATTGTAAGGCATGTGCAGGTTGTCAGACAAAGAATCTTACTAACAGAATTGGATTTTATCGAGCAGTTTAACAAGCACTTTCTAATAGTCTATGTGTTCCCTTTGACTTTTTTCCCCTCTTCTGGCATGAATAAGTTTGCATGTGAAACATGGTGGTTAAAACTTCACAATCTGTAATATAAGCAGCACAGTTTCTGGTTAACCTCTTGTTGACCAGCTGTTACAGTTGACAGGCCACGACAGATATATGGTCAGCAAGGTAGATTGCTTGTTCCTGCAACTGGCCAGATCCTGTAGTTTCTTGGCAGATCCTGGGGCACATGCATACAACATTTTTGTGGTGGCTTTTCTACTGGGGCTCCCAGTCCTCCTGCTTCCTTTAGGAGGAACTTAGAATGTTCTGGCTCTCATACATGAATTTAGTGAGATCGGCTGCTGCAGATCTGATGGTTAGAACGTAATTCCACTTTGTTGATATGCAGGAGCTATGGGAGAAGATGGAAAAATGGGCAGCCAAACCAGCAGATTACCTGGCTAGGGCTTCTAGGAGTGACCTGTGTTTTTTGGATGTCTCAAAATCTTGCTTCATTTCTTAACATTCAATAACATAGAGAAGGCTCATCTTCAAAAAGTGTGGGACTTCATTCTCTGAAACCAGACCTTGTCCTGTTGGGTCAGTTTGAAGTATCCAATACCCCAGGCCGATTTTTTTTCTTTATGTGTTCCTCAATACCTTGGTTGTCCTATTTGCACAAGTCAAGTGAAAGAACACAGGGTGGGGGGGTGAGGATTCAAGATGCTTCATTAGAGAGAGTACACATGAAACATTAAGCTTTCTGTAAAAGGTTGGGAGTTCCATCCCACTCCTAGAAATCATTCTGAAATCTCGAAATGTAGCTGTTGCAATAATAACTTAAAACATGGTCTCCACAACAAGCATATGCTTTCATTACATCATCTTATGAAAAGCCTTCAGCTACTAGATATAACAAATTTGCACTGGTGACTACACTTCTGTTAATACCACTTGACAAGTGTCAGGTTATTGAAAGATGAAGCAGCTGGGATATGCATGATGCATCAGTGACTCCAGATAGTGGAAAATTCCCTTAATTTATTTGTGGATTTTTTCTTTTGTTAGGTATTATTAGAAGCACAGAAGGAATTGGTGGACTACAAGGGACTTGGTATAAGTGTTCTTGGTAAGCCTTTAAAAATTCTATATTTTTCAGAATGTAGATGTTTAACCAAACTGTTTAATAAGAGTTTCTGATCTTGGAATTTCAATGCCTTTTTTTTCTTTTTTATTTCTAATACATTATTCTGGTAACATGTATGCCCAGAGAATACTTTTTCATGCTGCTTTTCTACTATTCATCAGGAGACCACAAAATGATACATAGCCAGATGTTTAGTGATCCAAAAGAAAGGACTAGAGACAAAAAAAGATAACTGATAATTTATAAAACATTAGTACTTTTGGATATGCAGGGATGTGTATGTATGTATATAGGCAATATATTAAAAAAGATTTAATATATATCTATAAAATATATGTATATACATACTATGCCTAGATATACACATACTATACGTGTGTGTGTATACATGTATACAGATACCATATATAGTATCTTATATACTATGTGGCAAAATGATTCAGACGTATTTGATGTATAGCATCCTTCCCATTGGGAAGGCAATGCTGTCATAAGAAGAAAGTGTCTTCTGTGCCATATGGGTAGCTGACTGGCTTTTCAGCCCCAGTTGCACAAAAATTTTATGCAAGATGATGGCCAGCAGTTTACTAGTCATGTGAAACTGTTTGATTGCTAAAAGTAGAATGTGCAGCAGTCTCTGCGGGATTTGGATTCGTGTTTAAATTGTACACTTTTACAGATGCAAGAAAGAATATGGATTTAATAAAGGAATTAGTATTAAGTGTCTTAAACATTTAATTAGGATTACTGCGTGAAGAAGCCTTGTTAAAAAAACAGAACAAACCCCTGCACCTTACTCTATACTTGCAACAGCATTAGTAGCAGAGAACATTCTTAGAGTGAGGAAAACTTACACCTTTCTAGGGAGTACTTTTTTTTCATGCAGATGTAGTTGTTCCTGGGTGTAGTAAGGTCATGTGGATGCCAAATGTGAATGGTCTGAATTTTCCTGGATCTAGACAAGGCTGGAGGTATAAGTATTCTGTGGATATTTAGGAAGGCTCGGAAAAAAACAACCAAAAAACCAAACAAATTGGAACTGGGAACTGCAGCCTTCAGGCATTTTGGGTCTGTAGTGTAAAAGGTTTAAAGCTTAACACAATTTTTAAATCGCATTCATGTATTACCATTTTGTTTCATGTTATTTCTTCTTTCCTTTCCACCAAAGAAATGAGCCATCGGACCTCGGATTTCACGAAGATTTTAAATACAGCTGAAAATCTTTTGCGTGAATTGCTGTGAGTGAATTGCTTTCTGCATATTTTTGTTTTGTACTTGTGCTAGCTGCATGAAGAATGACTAATGTGCAGACCTTTCCTTGAAAGCACCTGTTTGTGTGGGTTTTTTTTTGTTTAGATACTGTGTCTAATAGAGTAATAATCTTGGAGAGGATGTTGGTGTTCTGTTTGATACTAATTTATTTGAATGTGGAAAAGGGCTTTTATGAGGTTAAGGTGCTTTTTATGTGTCTACTATACACTGACTAGTTGACTTTCTTCTCAAATTTTAATTTTTGTCACCTTCATAGAATTCATGAAGGGCAGCAACTTTCTTCAAGAAAAGTGGAAACAATACAAATCAATTCTCTAGTGTGATAAAGGGGATCTGTACATTACTCATCAGTCTGATTTTACTAACATAAACATTATGGATGTGTTAGAATCACTGATGAAGAGCCCTTTTCCTAATCAGTGTGACATGTTTTTAAATGTTTGAAATAAATGTATTGTGTATTAGAATTAATGTCGTTAATAGTGATGGTTATTTCATATCGAAGCTGACTGTCACAGACAGAATTATTGAGAGAGGGGTTTTAATGAATAATTTGAACAAGTAATTCTTGTGACTGAACAACTCCTTATGGCACTTGGTCTGCAAGTACAATTTACCGTACAGTTGCACTTCCAAGTTGAAGGGTTTCAATGCTGAATTCTACTGTGAGCACTTTGGTGTGAAGTTCTTAGGCTGACAGAAAAGCGATGAAGCTGGCAATAGACAAAATTACAAGTAAGCATTAATTCTGCTGGAATATCTTTCAAGTCTGTGTGTACTATGATAGTACAGCTACTCAGAAGAGAATCTGTTCAATGCTGTCCAAGGGGGTAAAAGCTTATTTTCAGCAAATTTTTATCAGTAAAGTGTATAGTAATACTCGTAATAATACTTGAGTTGTTATTCAAAACCGGTGCTGAAGTAAGTTGATGGGATTTGGTCTAACGTCTTGGTGAAGAGTTTTTTAAAATGACAGTGTTCTTCAGTTGCTGTTAAATGCATAGTATCAAGTTTGTCTTCTGGGAATAATATAAATGATTATTTCTTACATGCAGAAATATACCAGAAAACTACAAAGTTATTTTCCTCCAAGGAGGTGGATCTGGTCAGTTCAGTGCAGTCCCACTGAATCTTATCGGTTTAAAGGAGGGAAGACATGCAGATTATGTGGTTACTGGAGCTTGGTCAGCAAAAGCAGCTAAAGAAGCAGAGAAGTATGCCAAAGTGAATATCGTTCATCCAAAACTAGGAGCCTATACAAGTAAGTTGATGATTACATCCACCCATGTGAATGCTTAGCTTTTAGAATCACTCTGAAAACTGGTCCAACTCAGCTATTTGATTATTCAATATTAACTAGTTTACAGAGTTGACTGCCCAGCACTCAAAAGATTGCCTGCCACATCTCTCCATGTTTATTGCTGGGAGATCTGTTAGATGGCTTAACAGTCTCCACCAGAAAAGAGTAGTGAAACTAGACCGAGCAGATCCCAGAAAATAAGTGGCAAGAAGCAAATGTGTATTGGTAGGGAAGTAGTCTGGGCTGTCTGATTGATTTTTTTTCCTCTTTTTTTTATTTATTTAACTGAGTTCTTAAGCTATTTGCAGGGGTATTGCCAGGTATTCCAGTTTCAGGTATGCTCAATAATGAGATTGCTCTGAAATTTAGAAGCATGCCCGAGTTCTTAACCTTATTGGCCCAGGAGGTGGGAGACCTGTATTCTCTTAACCTTCTTTCAAGGGTTCCCAAATACCTACCTTCCCCACCCATATGTTGTAACAGGCAGTTGGCTCTGGAATAGAAGAGGTGTTTTCAGCTCCTCCTCTTGATGCTTGTTACTGGACATGACATAATCCGAATGACCACAGCATAGAAGGAAGAAAAAGGTTAACTAATCGAGGCATTGTGAATTTTTATGAGAGAGTCTGTTTCAAGAGCCTTTGAAGTATATAATTTGTCACTGGATATACATAAATAATTCTTGGAGCAGGGACACATGAGTTCTGATTTCTACTCCTGCTAGTCATGCTTACTTTTCTTCCCTCTGGTCCAAATGATAGCATTTGAACTGGGAAGAGTGACAACAGTAAAGACAAAGAGTACCCCCTTTTGAGTTTAACTGGCAATTAGTACACTAACTTGGAAGATAAGTTTATATCCTCTGAGACACAGCAAGGAATTGAACCTACAACTTCCCTGTTTAGGGGAGTGTATTCACCATTTGGCAGTTGTAGGTAAGAGGAGAGGCGGTAAATAATGATGGAGGCAATAGCAGCACTTCTTCCCCCTCATGTTTTGGAGGAGAGAAGAAAGGAAGAGCAGCCCTTTGTTCTGTGCAAAACCTGTTCTGTGCTGTCAGGGCACGCCTGTATGTTGCCTGTTGACAGAGGAAATCTTAGTTTTGTAAATCAGCTTCAAAGCTTAAATGGAAGGTAGGTAGGTAACCTTGTGTTCAGCTTGGGCAAGACTGAAACACTTCTGGGGATGCACAGAAACGCAGCTTTAGAGAACTTTGCCAGTGAAAATTTGGACGCTTCAGTCGTTCCAAAGGCGTCAGGAAGATTCTTGGACCCAGTGCCTGAGTTCCTCTGAAATGCAGTTTTGGACCCCCAGGGCAGTAGTTTGTAGTCTGGGATTGCAAACATGATGAAAATCCCTTGAGGAATGAGGTCTGAAAACCAGAAGGGTGTTTGCTAGCTTAATGATGGCTCACCACAGAATTTTGGGAATCCTCTGGTGTATTTTCTTTGCAGATATCTTCCTGGTAACAAGATAATTAATACCTTATACTGCAAAATTGTTCTGGGTTTGCACTGAAGTCCCATGTTCAAGTAAAATTGCATGCCAGGTAAATTACTTGTCTCCAGTGACCTTTGGTTTTCTTTTCTGTCTGTCTCAGACATTCCGGACCCAAGCACTTGGAATCTTAATCCAGATGCATCTTATGTCTATTACTGTGCTAATGAGACTGTTCATGGTGTGGAGTTTGACTTTGTACCTGATGTTAAAGGAGCAGTCTTGGTTTGTGATATGTCTTCAAACTTCTTGTCCAGACCTGTGGATGTTTCTAAGGTACAGTATTCTACACAGTGCCTGCACAAAGCATTTTCAAACTTGAATGCATATAATTAGGCACTTAGAAATGTCTTGATGGCCACAGATGCTGAGCAGTGAAATTAAGGAAATCATATTTTCTTAATTGGGTATCTGATGGTGGAGACAAGTGTTGAAATTTAGACACTGAAATCTCAAACTTTATCTGTTGTCTTTTTTTTTTTTTAAGTAAAAACATTGAAATATGTTGAAATTGTTCATGTTAATAGCTGTCTAAGATTACTTGTCTTCTGTGTGGTCTTCACTGATGCTGTAGCTGAAAAAGATATCTTCTGAATCATATTTAATCTGTAGATAATATATACGGCTATAGCAGAGTACTGTGAATCAGAATTTTTGACCCTGTCTCTTACGTGGAAAATCTGTAACCCCTTTTAAGCTGCTAAAGCTTTGTGTGCCTCAAGATTACTGTGTCTGTTTCATAGATAACACAGAGGCAGAACATAGTACTTGCTTATGTTTGTAAAGTGTGTTATGAGTGGGAAGTGTTACTGAGTAGTGAAGTAGTGTATTTGACCTTTCTTATCTGTGTGTAGCAAAAAGAAGGGGCAATTGTTAGTGCGTTCATCTTCACCTTCCTTGATCTGCCTTTTTGAACAGGTGGATTATGTGATGCCTGTTCTGAAATACCAGATTGGTTGAAAATACTGTGATCTATGTATGAATTTATTTTTAGTAGATTTGCTTTGAGTAGTGTGAAATGGGGACAGGCTGCCATGAGAATTATTTGTGGATACTAAATAAATATTTGGCAAATCACCGGGAAATTTGTTATGATGATCTTCCTCAGTTGAATGAAGATAATGGTTCTGATAATAGATGTACATGGGATAACAATGGTAGCTGTAAGTGCACTTTGAAGTCAGAACTTCTCCTAACTCTTTTTTGATCTACAACTTGCTCATTTTCAACACATTCTCCAAGCCTGTTGTATGCCTGTTGTATAATGATATTGGTATATGACTCGCTTATAAGATCTACTAGTGAATGCCTGTAGCAAGTCCTTCTTTTCTTTTTTCTGTTAAAGTTTGGCGTGATTTTTGCTGGTGCTCAGAAGAATGTTGGCTGTGCTGGAGTTACTGTTGTAATAGTACGTGAGGACTTGCTGGGATTTGCACTGAAAGAATGCCCTGTAGTACTGGATTACAAAACACAAGCAATGAATGGCTCTTTGTATAACACTCCACCATGCTACAGGTAACTATAGCTGCTATTTAATATCTCTTATTCAAAAAGCTACTGCACTGCCATCTGCTGCTTTTATTGAGAAAAGTTTCAGAAGTTGAGTATTTGCCTTCGAGTCACTGATACATTGGCGTGTTTCACACGGTTTCTGTGAAAACATGGGAAGTGTCCAGCCACGTGACTGTAGCAGGCTTTGATGTTGCCTAGTGGGATTCAGCCATAAAAGACATAGTGGTTTTAGAGGTAAATCTTACATGTCATGATTCCATTGTGGAAGTTTCAAGATCCAATTCTAACTTACATAAACACAACTCTAATCAATCCAGCGGGGGTGCTTCTATCATTGTAAGTAGGTAATTTGGCGCTTAGTCTTGCTTCTTGAACGCTCAGTGCAGGTTTGATTCCATTTCTTCCTGAGGTTGTTCTCGACAATTGAACCTCCAGACCCCTATCCCTGTAAAAGAAATTTTTTTTTTTTAAAGGTATGTTAGTAATTGCTTTGCTAGCAATGTTTATGAAGCTAGACCAATTTTATTTTTGGACATCAAGTTAAAGACTGAGGTGGTACTTAAAGAAACATGGAAAGTTCTGCTATAGAATAAAGCAATCAAAATCATAAAATTGGCATGTACCTAGTGATTTTGTGCATGCAAGAAGCAGAACAGGCTACAGCTTGCTCTTTTAAAATTACTGTTTCCTAGCTTCTGATAACCGGTGAAATGATGCTTTGCTACTGGGATGTTGAGCTGGTGGTATTTCCGTGTTCTTAATGTGGTGCATTTTTATACCAATGTTCACTAAAGCGATTATTTTTAAAAAAGAAAATCTTCAAACCAGGTATTCTTTTTTTCCCTGAAGTTTTTTAAATTACTTTGAAAGTAATGATTTCTACTCTTTAGATTTCCTTGTGATTCAGATAATTTGGTAGTGCAATCTTATACTGTTGATGTTTAACGTCGGCTCTTACAGCTTTTTTGTACATGGCAGAATTGGCAAACTTAAGCTGCCGAATGATGTCCGAAAGATATCAAATGCACTGCATAAGCATAAAGTACAGTGATTCCTGAGTGTAAAGCCTACCTTAATGCTGTCTATTACTCAAATTCAGTAGTGTTTTAAGTGATACCAATTGTGTCTTTGAATCTGCTGATTCTCACTGTGGGGTATACTATTGCAATGACATAGAGGCAGTTAACTTATCAAAAGAACAGCAAATCTTGTGAGCATGTGTTTATTCGAGACTTTACAATGCACAACGAGTTTTCCCAAGGAGTATGCATACTGTAGAGTGTGTAGTGCTGTAATGATTTAGTCTTACTGTCAGCCCATCTGCCCTATAAGCTGAGTACCCCTTGTATCCTTAGGGGAGGTGTCTAAGACAAGAATTAATCTTACAATATCTTCTTTCTGAATGTAGCTTTGTAACATGGGCAGTACGTGTGTCTTTTTTTTTTCCCAGAGATTGATAAAGCCTCTATTTCATGATCAATTATTTTCCTGACTATCAAGTCACACTTTCTGTTTTGGACACTGTATACTTGCACATGCCAGGTTTTAAATCCAGCCATTCATGTGTTCCAGGTACAAAGCTATTTCCACTTGAAAAAAAACCCCAAAGTTCTACTTAATCTCAGCACTGAACACAGTGTTGCTCCTCTGGTTTGAAAAGCAAAACAAACGAAATTCTGCAGCTTTATTTTAGCCCCTGCAAAAAACTTCTGAAAAGAAAGCACTCCCTTAGCTGTAACTCAGTATCTGTTAGTAACATTAAGAGGGTGGTGGGAGATTAGCAGAGAAGAAAATAAAGTTGAACTGACAGTCTTTCTCCTTTCTGATCGCTGCCTTGCCAGTTTCCACTTCGTGCTACAGACCCACATTGGAGTACGCTTCAGAATCCAGAATGTAACACAAACTGAAATGTTGGCAGGGTGCACATCTGTTTGGCTTGGCTCTAAATGCCTGTTCCAGTTTTTGTAAGGAACTGGCAAAGCTTCTTAGTTCTCTTTTTCTCTACTCTTTTACTTACTCTCTCTAATGGTTTGCTGGCAAACAGGCAGGAAATATTAACTGAATTAGCAAAAGCTACTTCAGCGGGATATTAAATTAAATTAAGGTGATGCTAATGGCTTTAACCTCTTGGCGCTACAGAGCTTGACTTTTTGACCCTAATCTGCTTTGCTAAAATTAACAATGAATTGGCTATAAAAGCCTCATTTCCAAGCTCCAAGAGTTTATTTTGCACTTAAAATTGCTCCAGAAACGTTATTTTAACTGACATGAAAGAAGGATAAAAGACCTCCTCTGGCTGGGTTTTGTGAATGACTCTAAGGTTGGTGTCTTTAAACCTTACTTGTCCAAGAAGTTTCACTCAAAGTCAGGGCAACAGGTGAATGTGACCCTGCATATTTGGTAAGAGCCTAGACTATACTTCACTTAAATCCTTACACTGGGGTAGTTGACAGCGTGCTGTCATAAATGTGGCAAGATTGTGCTCTCAAAGCTGTAAGAGGCTTTGTATAAAAGGCAGTCTGTAACCTCAGTTATTCTTCAGCCCTTCTGCAGTGTTCAAAGATTTGGTGCTAGCATCCCCTGAGAAATTAAAAGTAGCAAAGTTTAAAACAGCCTCCTGCTAGATTTGTGTTAGGGAAACTTGTAGGATAACGTTCCCTGAGCACTCCCTTGGAATCTGTAATGAAGGGATTAATAAAAGCAAACTTCTTGGAAATACGCCATAAAAACTTGTGAACAGTTTATTATGTAAAGTGTTGCAGTCGTGGGAAATGCCTGAACTTGAACAAGCTGGGTTTTGTAGCAAAAGCACAAAGGCAAAAGGCCTGGGGGATTTTTTATGTTGCACTTAGTAACTAGCATTGAAATACTTGGTCCTAAGCCATGTGATGCCAGCAGGCTTCCAGATCTCTACTTAGAACTTGAATGGTAATGAATAATTAAGTGTAATACATCATTATTTGTTTTGCCCAACTTCACTGTTCATGTGGGGAAAAAGGTCGTCTTAGACAGAAATGGAGTTATAGTTTTTATTTAACAATTGTGAAAATGGGATTAGATTTCTGGCATTATTAATGTACATACGTTTGAGATTGACCCCTGCATCTTTGCTAGAGCAGCTGCACAGGGTGGGTGCTACTAACTTTGGTGCTAATTCTGGCTCTTTCTAGGACTTGACAGGGAGTTGTGGGGTCAATAAACTGGTTGTCTGTGCATCATGTCTGGGGCCGTCCTTGGGAGCCCTGCAGGTCCGCAGGAAACCTGCGGGACTTGTCCTTCTGTGGTACAAAGGATTAAGTTTGGTCCAACAGATTTGTGTAGCATTTGAACTTCAGGGTACTTCATCTGGGTACAAAAAAAACATTGCCTGCTTAAAATTATCATAATTTGTGACATAGTCCAGATTCTGAGTTGTTAACCTTAAGCACCCTAAACCCAAACATAACAGTTTGTTGCTGAAACATTTTGTGACCTATTAAACGGGACTGTTATTTTTTCCATTTAAATAATCTGTCTGAAAATTCTTCTTTCCTCTTGCAGTATTTATATCATGGGTTTGGTACTGGAATGGATAAAGAACAATGGCGGAGCTGCAGCTATGGATAAACTTAGTTTAATCAAATCGCGAATGATTTATGATATCATAGACAAATCTAATGGATTCTATGTGTAAGTTGCTATGCTTTTCCCTTGGTTTCAATATTTGTTGCAGAGCCAAACGTATTCATAACTTTTAAGGGTCTGATTGCAGCATATTTTTAAAGTTACCTTTCCAGTATGTAGAAATTTTGAGGAATCCTACAGGAATTATTTGTGTAAATAGTTCACTTGATAACTATCTGAAGATGAGTCTCATTCTGGTAATAAGGTGTTTCAAGTTATCCTATATAGATCAGTTGTGAAGCATATTAATAACATGTTCTAAACTTAATAAAATGCAGGAGCCTAGAGGAAGAGTATACAAAAAACAGATATGCAGATTCTGGTTTGTATGTTTACTGAATCTCTTGGGGAAACACAGGCCAGAACAGAGAAAGTGGCTTGTAAGAAGTTGTAGAGACCACTTTTGCATTATATTCTTCCTACCATCTCTTTCAGTAGTCAAAGACTCTGCTTTTTCTGTCAAGCAGATAATTTTTATTAGCTAAATTTTGCAAAGTTCAGAAACATTTCCTGAAATAGAAAGAGGAAGATCAGACCTAGATGTAGTTAAAATGTAATACATTTTCTTTACTTACAGTTTACTTTCTTCAGTAATTTTTAATAGTTTTTACAAAGTAGTTGTAACCTTCTGATTTTTACATATTGTTGCAAGGTATTCTTGAGCTTGCAGGACCCAAAATATGTATAGCTAAAAGCTGATGCCATAATTCAGAATAATTCTAATACTTGCCAAGCTCAAAAACTAGTAATTGACTGTGAAACTGCAAAATATTTTCTTTCACCTTTGGTATAAAATCAACAGTTTTGGGACCTAATTAACTTTCAAGTCAAAGTTAGGATAGGGCAAATTAAATTTGGTTTTTAAATTAAAGTTGGCTGCAGCCTTAATTGGCAGGGATATAGTTTCATCATAATGTTTAATACATTCTGTTTATCCATTTAGTTAATGAGAACAGCTTTGCCTTTAGCATTGTCATGATCGGGATTGTGGTCCTACTCTACTGAAATCCTGAGGGTTTTTCATAAACCTCAGTAAGCAAATGAAGCCTTGAAAAAACATTTTGTGACAAATAGAAATCTCTTTCTGGCAAGCTCGTATATGAGGCTGTGAGTGGGAAATGCAATGCAGATGGGATGGTAAATAGTCAATTGGGAAGGCAAAGCAAGCTTCACTAACTGAGCTGTATGTGTCTTACTAAGAAATACAGTTAAGACTGTGGTGTTGGTGTGTTTTTTTTTTTTTTTTTTTTTTATTGTGTGTATGAATAAAAGGAAGCCCTGTCTGAAGGTGCCTTCCCAGCTTAAATGTGCCACCTAATCTGTGGTATGCTTCACTGGGTAAGCAGTGTAACAAGCCATTTAGCAAATGAGGACTTTCTTGCACAAAGTGCTGTATGCCATTTGCAGTTTGTTTCACCAAGTCTGTGCAGTAGCTGAGATATATTGGATTGCCTAGTAGTGACTGAATCTTCTAAAAACTGTAGCATAGCTACAGTTGCTCAAATATGTGAAGGCTTACAAGAAGACTGTTTTCCTGGTTGCATCTGAAGCAGAAAATTTGCATAGGCAGGTATTAAGGATTGATTATGTTGGGTTTTTTTCTTCATAACGGAGACATCTGTATAAAGGACCAAAGGAGGAACTAAAAAAGAATTATATGCATTCTTTGTCAAATAGAATAATAATAGGTATGAAATTTACATGCAGTTTATGAGAACTTACTCCTAATGAATCCCTGCAAGAATCTACATCACAGCCTTAGGAAAGAATAAATCTGCAGGCTTCATATCTCCTTTGTAACTAGAAGCACTAAAGAAGAATACTTAATTATTTTTTTTCCCCTCCTGTCGTTACCTGCAAAAAATAATGGAATAGAAATCTTGCTCTAAATGTATCTTGAATTTTCTACTTAAAATTCCCTTTAATCTGAGGAGATTTGAGCTGTGATGTACCTCATATGTGTTGTGGTCATGTATGCAATGCAAGATTTGTTCTAGAGATATATCTTATCTACTTGATGTTCATGATTCTGAATAATACTAATGTAGAAGGTGGATTGATACCACTAACAGCAGTCTCTAATGTCCCTGGAAACTTCTTTATGCTATGTTCTTATTCTTCCTTTAGCTCTGTTTAGCTGGGTCAAGCTCCATTCTGGTAGCACTTGTGACTAGATGAGTAAAAATTAGTGTGTCAGTCTTTGAAGGTAAAGAGAAGAAACTGCTTGAGACTTAGTCAAAGTTCCTGTAACTAAACTCACTTACCCTGGGGAGTGTAACTGTGACTGTCGTGGGTTGGGTGGTGGGTTTTAACATGATTTTTTTTTTTTTAAATTGGTCTGCTTACAAGCCTCCTGTGCATTCCTCTAGGGCAATTTTGAGTATGTCAGGAAGGGTTAATAAGCCTTTAACTTACTGTTTCTGCTGTAATACTTGGTTAAAAAAGGAAGGTTGCTTTCTTTCTTTTTCAGTTATGGAGGAATGACTTTGGTGCTAAACAGACACCGTTATTCACTTTCTGAAATTGTATATAGCTGAACATGTAAATTTAATACAAAATGGGTTAATCATTACATTCTGCAACTTTTTCTAGATGTCCAGTGGAGAAAAAGAACCGAAGCAGAATGAATGTCCCTTTCCGTATTGGCAGTATCAAGGGTGATGAAGCACTGGAAAAGAAATTTCTTGAGAAAGCTGTGGAACTTAACATGATATCTCTGAAAGGGCATCGGTAAGTATTAATCAGATGAATCCCTTTCCTGTGCAGGGTAGACTGTTACTACAGTGATACAGCAGCAGGCATTGTGCATTGGCTTACCAGCCTTTCTCACTCACAAGCTGTTCCTCATATTATTTTGGCATCATTTGGGAATAGCAGTCTAGAGATGGTAATCACAGACTGCTTGTGGCTCAACTACTGCTTAGGTGTCGTGGGGCTCAGAGCTTTCTTAATTCTGCTTTCTTCTCCAATTTGATAAATACAGCTCTGGGCAAATGCCAAAGGAGGTGACTCTTGAGGTGAGATTCTGTCATTGTATAAAGCTTTTCATTCCATGCCTTGTCTACCTGGTTGCAAGAGTTCCGTCCCACGTTCAGTGGTGTTTGTGGATTAAAAAAAAAGATAGCTTTTTGATGTCACAGAGCTACAGCGTTGGAACTGTAAATAATTAATAAATAATGAGTTTCTCTGGATTGCAAGCTTCCCTTGAAGAATTAAGTGTTGCTTCTCATTCCCACAAAGTGTGAATTTTATCCCTTTGGAGTAGGGGTAGGTTTAAATGCCTGTGAATGTTATTAATGTCTTTTCTAGAATTTACAAAATCTTTCTATTTTTTCTCTCCCCTCCTCTTTTCAATTCAGATCTGTGGGAGGAATCCGTGCCTCTTTATATAATGCGGTGACTGTAGAAGATGTGCAGAAGCTTGCAACATTCATGAGAAGCTTCATGCAGATGCATCAGTCATAAATACCCATGGGCTGGAGCCATGCTGCACGTCTATGAAACAAAAGCTAAAGGGTTTGAAAGTTACTGTGGTACTACACAGCTGTAGCACACAAGTTATATTTTCTTTTTGTTCCTGTAGCTATTTTAGTTAACTGTATGGCATTGAGCCCAATCTTGCAATGACTTGGCAGCCTTGGCTTCACTGAAGGTGAGGATCCCCAGACTGATCAAGATTGGTTCCAAAATTTGCAAACCAGTATTCTTTAATGTGTAGCTAAAACATGAGTAGCACTGTAAGATGCTATGGATCTGAGTCTGTTTCTTGCTTCTAGGCACAAATGACTTCTTTAGCAATGCCTTGTTTTCAGTAAACTTCAGGAGGCAACGTGTCATAAGCTTTTTGTAGTGCTTTACAATTACTCTGTGGCTGCAGTGAAGCTAGAGTTAATGTTAAGTGTTCTCTAAGGATAACTAGTTGGTTTATCGGATATATTCCAACAATATACCACCAGCAGTATTTAGGAGTTAATATCTGTGTTCCTAACTTCAGGACCTTGCCTTCAGACTTGTGCTAACATAAGTGCCATGTAGCAATGCCCATTGTGGTTAAAGTCTCTGTAGGACTGGGCCTTTTTTCGTATTGGTTTAAAGCTAAGATGCATGAGTCTGTAATTAAATAGATTGATAAGGTGTTTATTTGTCTATGCATTTTGTATATTAAACTTCTCTAGGTTATTAATTTTATATTCTTATTTTGGAGTGTGCATATTTGCTCCTACCAAAAACTTGTTTTTAGTTTGTTAACCTTGTGCCAAACTGGATTGCTCTATTCTGCTCAATGGGTCTGTGACTTTCTTTGCACTGACTTCCTAGCCCAAAGTGCAGCAGGCTTTGGTGCTTTTTAAATGTTTTCCCTCTCTACTTGCTCCAGGATTTTTCGCTGCCTTTTCATTGCTTCAGTTCTGTAGCCTTTTGTCTGTGGGGCTTTACCCAGCTGCAGTAAATACAAGTCTTGACTTCTCTGCTTTTCCTGACACTATCATGGTTTTGGTCCAACTTTTGCCCTTGATCCCTCTGGCTTATTCCAGACTTTGGTACTCTGGGCTAGAGAAGGAACTGTAGTTATGCAAAGATCTTCCATTATAGTACCCTTGAGCTACTTTTTCCTTTTCAGCTTGTGAATTTACTGCAAATGACCATATAGTGACACTAGCCTCCTATTTTAACTTGTGCAGAAGCTGTCTGCTGGTATCATAGTGTTTAGCATTACTGCAGCTGGTTTCAGACTGTAAACTCTTTCATACAGATGGGGATTTTTTTGACTTTTATGTTATATCAGTACAGTAGTAACAATTTAATAATGATAACGATGGACTGTCTGTTTCTTGGTGGAACCTCACAGCACGTCAGTGGATTTGTGCTAGGATGGAGTTACGTTCCTTTCTTAAAAGTCATCATTTTATGACTATGTTTTGAGATCTTTGTCAACTTAGTGTAACTCAAAGTAATTAAACAAATCTGATGAAGAAAATAAAACTTAATCACAGCATGCTGCGAAGTACCAGTGTGTCTGAAGCTTTTGCTTTTGTCACTCTCAGAAGGATGAGAAGTCATGCGTAATGTGTGTTAGAGTTTTAGATTCCAGTATCATACTTTTCCCTAAAAAGAAAGCTTTCCTCATTTGTGTTTTATTTCTTTCTGAAAATAGTGTTTCCTACAACTAGCATGGAAACAAGAGTATTACTATGAGAAGGGTTTGAGAACACTTTTTGCCCTGCTGATCATGATCTAATTTAGTTTCCATATTAAGCTCTTTAACTTTCTAAAATTCTACTTCCTCCAACATCTTGTCAGTTAAAGACTTTTTGCTTTTCTGGGGAAAAAAAAAATACGTAAAAGCAAAATGCAGAGTGAAGACTACAATATCAGGCAGTAATTGATTGAATAGCATGTGAGGGGGACGCAGGAACGATGGGAAGACTGGAGTGTGTGCTGAATGAATTAGTTACTCAGTTTGTTTCAGAATTTCCATGCAACAGTTCTACCCTTTCAAGCTGCATCCCTGGAAGATGTGATTAGTGTGTTGAGCCACAGTGGACAGAGAAATCTCACTTCCCGCCACCAGGTTAACAGGAGGAATTTCAGCAGGGGGTTGCTGAGAGTCCTGGTCTGTTTCCCTTATGTCAGCACTTCAAAGCTGGATCAATAATTGCAGTATTTGGAATCAGGGCTTTTCTTTGTGTGATATGATACTCCTAAGGCATTAAAATGTGTTCAAAAGTAGAAGTAAACTATTGGTCTCATCCGAGTTTGTGCATGTAGAGAGGGAATTGTAAGATAAGCTCTTCTCTGAACAGTGCTTTCAATTCCTTCTAGTAGGTTGTCTCTGTTACATCTCCTAGCTCTTGTGTTTGATTTCACAAAAGTAGTTGCCAGCGTTCTCTTTAGTTTGTGGTATAAAAGTCCCTGGTCACCATCTTTTCCAGGCCTGGACTAAAAAGAGAAACCTGCTGAGGAGGTTGTGCACTCCCTTTGTTCGTGCTCGGCACAGGGAGGAGTGCACAACCATGCCATACCACAAATTATCCCAGGTAGAAGAACTGGGGAGGTACCCTGTCCCAGGGGATTCCTGTCAATTGTCAACAGTAGGGTCTTTCCATGGCAGTTGTGGTACCATCTCTAAGCCTGGCACAAAAGAATCAAATAAGAACTAGAAGTCTGGATTGCCACATCCTTATTTAACTAGTAATTCTAGTGGAGATAAATGATTCATATGGACAGCAGTGTGGATAGTCCTGACCCTGTGCCAGCTGCCACTCTGTATTTAATTTTTTTTCCTTTTCTCTTTGTTCCTGTTTTTCTTTTCAACTTGTAACTGGCTTAATATTTTTTAGATGTACCCAGGGATGTTTGGATGTAAAAAGTTTAATCCTGTTCTTGACTTCCAAGTAAATGTTTGGGTGAAACAGGAATAAAGGACATCATACACTGATGGATTAGAAGTTGTCAAAGTATGCCGAAAGCATTGTTAGGTCTAGCACTGTATTGGTGTATGATTAATGTTTGCTGTATTTAATTCTCTGGATAGAAATAAAATGAGGGTGAATCTCTTTGTATTTGATAAGGATGTACCTAATTAAAAAGTGAAATGGTACAAGGTTTTACATGAAATCAGTCACTTTAATTGGAAAGTGGTATCCCCATTCCTGTTGGTAATTGGACTCTTGATAATTTAAAACTAGGATTCATGACAGTCTTTGATAAATTGGTCCCTTTTAGGCTAAAGAAGCTAAGAAGTTATAATTACTGATGGATTACTGAATGGTTGGAGGAGCGTGATCAAAGAGATGCAAGGAGATACGTAGAAGAGCTGGTAGCTTGTGAAGATGTATTTATATTTTTAAGTAGCTAAGGAATAAGTGTGTATTTGATGTGACAAAAAACAAAAGCTGTACAGTTTCTGAAATCCCAGAAAATTTGAATTCAATCTCCTACCTTTGCATTATGCATAAAAAGCAAAAATTGAGTGTTTTGGTAAATGGATTAATTACAAAAAAGATGTGAAGAAATCATGTGTGAAAGGTTGAAATTTGCTAAACTATTACAAGAGAAATTACTATTAAACTGCTTAGAATTTATATTATAATGAACAAGTCTGAGTGATTCTTTGTTTTAGTTCTATGATGTAAACTGAACACATTTTAGAGACTTATTGCTAGAACTAGGGATTGTGGTAACAAACACTTCTTGCTGTGTAACTGAATAAATATTTTTCCATAGCATGAGCAGTAGTTTTTTGGACTTGAAACAAACTGTATGAAGCTTTCAAACTCTGGCACTAGGTTCTGTAGCTGGGCAAACCAGAACTAAAGAATTATAAAAGCTGGAAAGCTTAGTTCTGGGCTGGTACTGCCCTGCCAATGTAGGGTCACACTATCTCATAGCTTGTCTTCCCTACCGGGGCAGCCCCAATCACGCAGCCTTTGGACACATTTTTATTGTGAAAACATACCACCTGCCCTAGTGCTAGGCAGGTGTTAATGCTTGATTCCATTGTGATTGTGCTTCACCTGATGCCCCAGTACTCTGAGTTGTATGTCAGGTCTGGTGCCTCTGCCAGGAACTGAAATTAAAGGGTTTGGCTGTGGAGGTATTTCAGTCAGCCACCTAAACTGTAACTCCTCATTTGTGGTATGGCATGAGCTTGTGTTCAATTCCCTAAATCTGGCTGGTGATATGAGGTAGTTGGAGGTAAGACATGACATTGCTCTGTTGGTGTGAGGGGTCTTATGGTGTGGCAAGAGAAAGGGTGACAGACGCTGACAGCAGCGCTATGTGCTCTGTGACCTCTGTAGGGGGCATTGGACCAAGCTAGTAGTGAAGTATGTGCAAGGTAAATGCTGGGTGACAGCTGGTGAAAAGGAGTATATACAATCATAAAATAGTTTGGGTTGGAAGATACCTTTAAAGGTCGTCTAGTCAACCCCTCTTTCAATAAGCAAGGACATCTTCAACTAGATCACGTTGCTCAAAACCCCATCCGACCTGACCTTGAATGTTTCCAGGGATGCGTCATCTACCACCTCTCTGGGCAACCTGTTCCTGTGTTTCACCCCCATCATTGTTACCCCTTGTCCTGTCACAATGGGTCCTGCTAAAAGGTTTGTCCCCATCTTTCTTATAAGCCCCCTTTAAGTACTGAAAGGCTGCAATAAGGTCTCCCAGAGCCTTCTCTTCACAAGGCTGAACAACCCCAACTCTCTGTCTGTCGTCATAGGAGAAGTGTTCCAGCCCTCTGATAATTTTTGTGGGTCTCCTCTGGACTTGTTCCAACAGATCCGTGTCTTTCTTGTACTGGGGAGTCCAGTGCTGGATGCAGTATTCCAGGTTGAGTCTCACTGGAACAGAGTAGAGGGACAGAATCACCTCCCTTGATGTGCTGGCCATGCCTCTTTTGATGCAGCCCAGTGGTTGGCTTTCTGAGCTGTGAGTGGACATTGCTCGCTCATGTCCAATTGGTACCACCCACTGGTACCCCTAAGTCCTTCTTGACAGGGCTGCTCTTGATCCCTTCATCATTCAGGCTGTGTTAATACCGGGGGCTTCCCTGACGCAGGTGCAGGACCCTGCACTTGGTCTTGTTGAACTTCATGGGGTTCACATGGGCCCAGTTCTTGAGCTTGTCCAGATCCCTTTGGATGGCATCCCGTCCCTCAGGTGTGTCAACTCTACCACTAAGGTTGGTGTCATCCCCAAACTTGCTGAGGGTGTACTGTCTCACTGTCTGTCATTGATGAAGATACTGAACAGTACTGGTCCCAGTATGGACCCCTGAGGGACACCACTTGTCACTGATCTCCATCTGGACATTGAGCTGTTGACCATTGCCCTCTGCATGTGACCATCCAACCAATTCCTTATC